GACGAACAATCGGATAAGCTGCTCTTCTTCAAATACGGCGCGGACGGACAAATAGAGTAGAGACAAAACACAAATCATTGACCTTTCTCTTTTTTGGCTTATAATTGATGCTCTTATCCGTCCGCGCCGCGCACGCTTAAGATGATTATGGTCATCACATAGCTAACAAACACGCTGGCGGTCAACCGGGAAAAAATGACACAATTTTTTTTTGTTACAGTTGGATTCCGCGGGAGTCGAACGAGCGATCTCGGAGGCGTTCGAGATACGAGCGGCACGACAAGCCGAAGTACAACAACAGGAGGATGAGAATGATACGTCGTTGAGGTGAGAGCAGAATTTTTGATTGTCAGGTTTCTATGATCTTTGAATCTATATCGTTCCGATCCATCGACCACTCAGGATCCTTGGGGATCTTTAGATTGGACCCTCACCTCTTGAAAATCAGTATAGATTCTAGAGCCTATAGATCCTGGATCCTTGAGGTCCTTAAATCTATAGATCCTAGATCTTCGATACCTCGCCAATCTTACATTTTCAGGGAACCCAACCCCGATGATCCATTGCCACCGCAATCTTCATCTACAGCCCCACCAGTGGAAAACGGGACGCTGACGACGTCCCTAATCTCAACGCCTACATCAATATCAAAAATGAATCCTAGCCCTCTCGTCCTACCGCCGCCACAAGCCACATCGACGCCTACACCAGCACCGCTGCCTTCAAAACCAACGACGATGACGATGACGTCTTCTGATGCTTCTGCTGTTACGTCTTCTTCCAAAACCTCCTAGTCGCCTTACTTCTTTTCCATAGTTTATTCTCTTTTCGTTTCGTTTCTCTTTTTGAATTTCGTTTTTTTGTTTTCATGATTCTTCTTGCTTCATTTCATTTAATTCTCATCCATTTCTTTTTTTGTTTCATTATCCATATTTTTCCATTCTCCCAAAGGTGTGGCTCTTTTCTCTCTCTCTCTCTCTCTGTGTAGCGGGTTTCTCTAAACGGTATTTGTTTACCTGAGCAAAAGAGTGGAGGAATTAACCATCTCCTCTCCGCCCAGGAAGTAATAGGCTCGGCTCAGGGCGGAGCACGGCGAGGCAGTATATGGAGGAGCTCGATATACTTTTGACAAGGTGACTGACTTTCTTAGTGTGTGTGTGCTCTCTTCTGTGTTGACTCGGAGATATTTGGTATTCGGGTATTTGCGGTCGTGCGAAGAAGAGGACGGACACGCCACGCGGTCAAAGAGTCTTAGAGACCCATTACTCTTTACCTCCCCCAAACACACTTATACACTTTCATCAATAGTCCCTCTCCATTTTGCTATAATTCCATCAAATGCTTAAACTCGCGGCTCTATTGCTGCTCGCCGGCTCCGCCGCAGCCCAACACGGTACCGTTGGACGGCCGTGTGAGGTGTCGACGGACTGTGGTACCGGAAACTATTGCGCTGGAAATAAGCGTTGCGCTTGTCTAACCACATATGTTGAAATTGATTCGTACTGTTGGAGAAGTAAGTTTTTGAACTGCTGAAAATTTCAAATTTGTAAAAAAGAGGCAAAGAGAGAAAAGAGTCGTTTCCTGATTAAAAAACATTGTTATTCATATTTCGTATTGTATTCATGTTGAATACTTCTTTTTCTTCTTCTTCACCCTCTAGGCACTTTCTTCTCTTCTTTCCCATCGAAACTTTCTTTTGACATCAACGAAATATCCCGTAGGGTTTTTGGCATTTTTGGAGAAGCAAATGCGCTCCAAGTGGAGCTCATTTTCTCCTTAAAAATTCCATCCTTCATTTTTTGGCACCGTTTTATCCACACACTGTTACCAACCTTGTTTCGTTAATTTTTTTTGCCACACACCCACGTTTTGTCTAGAAAAGCCCCACTAGGTCCTTCTTCCCAAAAATGCTCTTGTCAGATAATGTTCATTCACACAAACACAAAAATTATAACATGCTGCTGTTCTTATCCCCTCCCTAATGCCCAATCCCCGGTTCTATTTTTTTCTTTTCTTTTTTAAAATTTCTAATTTTCTTTCTAATTCTTTTTTGCTGGGTTGTTGTTCTCCACTCTCCTGGCGGGTCCATCCTCTTTCTTCTTCTTCTCTCTCTCTCCTGAAAAAGTCATCTTCCTAAAAATGGTTTCTAGAAGATTCACTAGATTTTCTAGATTCTCCAGAATTCTTTTTTTTTCTACTCAAATCGAAAAATCCTTGTCGAGTCACAAAAATTCCTCTTGCTTCTCTCTTCTCTCCTTCCCTCCCACGCTCTCTCGTCTCCTCCTTCATCCTTTCCACACTTTTTCATGCATAAATAAATTATGAATTGATTGTTTCCCTTTTCTAGTCCCGCCCCTTTTTTAAATTCCAATATTGCTGCTTCTGTGAATGCTGGCTTTGTTGAAACAGAAAAAAGAGAAATCACCCTGTGCAATTCTTCAAGTTTCTAGAATTTTTAAAGAATCTGAAGTTTGGAAAATAACAAAACAGAAACAGACAATGGTTGAAAAAAACTCGAATTTGGAATTTTTGAAAGTTTCTGGAAGGAGAAAGTAAATTTTTTAAGCAATTCGCACGTTTTGGCTGTCGAGCCAAGTTAGAATTTTTATCGAAATTTCAAATCTCGGGGTTAAAGATCGTAGTGCACGCTCTCCCACAGAATAATTCCGAACTGCAAATTAATTTTTGATCTACAGAAAAAAAAAGTTTGGCGCGATCGCAATTGCAGGTCTAAAACCATAATTTCAGAATTTTCATCTGATTTTGTGGAGTTCCAAGATGATTCAAATGATTCTTAAAAAATTAATTAGTGGTTATTGAATCCTATATTGTCGTTTTCCGGAAGAAAAAATGTCAAAAATGGTCATTTTTGAAAGTTTTTTAAAGGTGGGGGGTCATGAAAAAATAATGTTCTCGAAATTCTGTTTAAATATGCCCCTCGAGGAGTTGAACTTGTCGAGGCGAGTATTGAAGGTGCGGCGCCGCTACCGACTGAGCCATGCGGGCGAAACTGGAGCGGGCGCCTGATTGCATACATAAAGGCGAGGACGACCGCTGTACGCAGAGTGACATTAAGCGTTGTACACCGTTACGGTAGAATGCATACTCTGGCCCCAAAAATCCCCCGTAAAATCTCCTGTCCCCCCACCTTTAAAGAAAAAATCTATCTCCTCTTTCAGTTTTTGAGATTTCTAGGAGTTCGACCATACATGAATCTATAACCACTAATTAATTTTTTAAGAATCATTTGAATCATCTTGGAACTCCACAAAATCAGATTAAAAATTCTGAAATTATGGTTTTAGACCTGCAATTGTGATCGCGCCAAACTTTTCTGTAGATCAAAAATTAATTTGCAGTTCGGAATTGTTCTGTGGGAGAGCGTGTAGTGTCTGTAAACACACTCACGACACAAAGCAGACATAAAATTTTATATCGAAAAAACAAGTACCGTAACGACTCGATATCAATGATCTCGGTCCTTGAAAATATAGCGAAACAATAGAAAAATGCAATATTATCTTGCATATATAATGTTACCGTAATCTGTACTGTACGGATTACTGTAGAGTTGTCAAGACAGCTTTCAAAAAGGCTCGTCTAGGAACCGAGATAATCTGGGTGGAAATTTTAGAAAAAAACGAAGAAATGAAACAAAGAATATCTCATCCTTTCCAGAAATCAATCCCGGAGAGTCTGGATGCACTCAAAACCGTCAATGCGAAGCCGTGTGGCCAGGAGCCTACTGTAGATCTGGAGAGTGTCGTTGTGCGAACAATCAGCCACCGTTCCGTACCCGTGACGGTCTCGTTTGTCTGAATTACGGATTCTGTCCATTGAACGGAAACAATCCAAAGTTCCGTATTGAGAATCAGGTTCAACAGTGTTATGGTGGAGCTGATGCCACGTGTGAAGCCATCGGAGCGTTGGCTTATGATTGCATCTGTGATTCGGATGATTGCACAGTCAACAATCCAATCAGTTTCTGTTGTCCATCGCGTGCCTTTGCTTGTATTCAACCACCAAATGAGGGATACACTCCACCAGGTGGTGGTACTACTTTGAACCATTGGTACCATGACCCAATTACCGGAGAGTGCAGAGAATTGAAGTATCAAGGATACGGTGGAAATGCCAACAACTTCCAGACCAAGGACCATTGTGAATCCTATTGTAAACAGAGTGAGTGTCTTTTTTTGGTTTCGAAACTTTGAACTTGATTATTTTGATTTCTCAAAGAGATATCAAAAAGTGGTCAACTAATGAAATGTGTGTCATAACATCAACAAAATTTTTTCAGTTTCTTACTTTCTCTTATCTTTGACAGGAGTTGAGATAATTAAGCTTAAAGTGTAGCATGCCGCCAAAAACGGACCACCGACTTTTGTTTGATTATCATAGTTTCTGTAAGAGATATTAAAAAGTTGTCAACTATAAGAATGTTCAAGATTTTACAATCATAATTTTATTAGTTCACCACTTTTTGACATCTTTCACACGAAGCGAGATAATCAAACTCAAAACGCCGCTACTGGCGACGCCTTTGGCGCTGGATGAGCCATTAGTGTACTCGAACTTTAAGCTAAACTATCTAGGTTTCTTTGAAAATTTTCAAAAAGTTTTCAACTGATTAATCATTGATCATAGTGTCAAGAATGTTTTATCAATTGACATATTTTGCTATCTCTCATTAACACCGAGATAATTTAAATTGAATTCAAAGTTACAATGGAATTGGTAAAATTTCGCACGTTTTAGTAGTTGACAACTTTGTGATATTTTGTATAGGGACCAGAATAATTGATTACGAATTGGTGGTTCGTTTGGTTACAAGTTCGAAATATCGCTTTTTTTTATTTCTTAAAAATGTATCCAAAAACTGATCTCCCAATTTTGCAGCCTGCAATCGTGGTCTTCCACTCTACCGTGACCGTACCACCGGTGTCAAACAAGAGCCAGTCTATTGTCAAGGAAACGACAACGGATGTAACAACCCGAACTACCAGTGTACCACCATGGGTACACTTCAACAATGCTGCCCAACATACTGTACGTTTTTGGGACT